CCTCCATAAAAGCATCAAATCTGAACCTTTCAAAGCCCTCCATCTGGGTGCATTTCAAAACTGAGCACTGGAGATGTCTGGAAGTGGGCTTCACTGCAGGGCACAGTGAGCAGCGCTTCCTGGCAGTCTGGCCAGCCTGTAAGGACATCACAGGGCTGTCCCCTCCTCGGGAAAGGCCAGCGCATCTAAAGGGCGAGCCGTGAGGTCATCAGTGAGTCAGTGGCTATCACATGACCAACCTGAGGCCATCTGCACATCTGGAATAGGTGGACTTGACTTAGAAGAGTCGGCCGGCCGGAAAGAAAGCAGTGCCCAGTGCTGGCTGTGTCGAGGTGTGTGTGACAGGGTGGGCACAGATGCCGTGCGCAACACGGGCCGTCCAGCAGGCACACTTGGATGAGTGAGCGGAGACTAGCTTGCACAGACGGACCACTCCTAGGAACCTCTAGTAGTGGACACAGGGAGTCCCCGAGGCTGGATCACAGCACCCAATATTTTCCAAAAGGTTTAAACCAAAGCTCACTTTGAGCAGAGAGTTATCACAGAAGGAGCCCCAGCAGGCGCACCAGGGTCATACACTCAACTGCTACCCAGAAGGTCTGCCCACCTGCTGCAGGGACGGAGGGCCTGTGGCCCACCTGCTTCTGTAAAGATGAAGATTCTCCAACACTCACTGACATCTAGTCGACTCTGAGTCACAGCAAGCCCCGCCTTGGGACAGCGCAGAACTGCCCCTGTCGCTCTTCCCGGGAACAGAGAGCCTCATCTTTCTCCCTTGGAGAGGGCTGGTGATCTGAACTGACTTTGAAGTCGGGAGCCCACGCAGAATGCATGCTGGGGACCCCCTGCCCCCACCGAGGGCAGTAATGCGTTGGAACCAGCTCCAAGGCCCAGGACAAGCTGCCCAAGGGCTGTGCTTTGGGAAGCACCCGCTTGCGTTCTAAGCAGGAACAAGATCGGAACCATTCCCGGGCAGGGAGTCATGCCCCTGAGGTCCAGGTCTGCTCCCCAGAGGGGGTGTGTGTGAGGACTAAACTCAGCAAGGCTCTCATGGAGGGCCCAGGCTGGGCCCGACCAGCCACCAGTGAACAGGCTGCTGGAAAAGGCAGGCCTGAACTGTCCCAAGAGGGGCGAACCCACAACAGAAGGGGCGGTCACCCCAATCCGGGGCAGTGAGAATGAGGGCATACCCTATGGAGAAGCCCCCTTGGGAGCCGGAGCTGGAGTCCTGCCCACGATCACCGTGAGCCTCCATCCACTCAGGAAGACCTTGATGTCAGGCTTGGGGGCCAGCAGACCGCAGTTTCAGGGCCAGAACTCTGCGCTCCACCACACTGCCCTGATTCCTGCTCGCTATTGCTGTCATCGTCTTTGACCGCCTTGCTTTCAGGACTCTTGCTAAGAGACTCTCAAAGTCAAATTGGAACATACAGACAGGCTGGCCTTCTTGTATGTAACCATCAAAATTAGAGAAGCAATTGTAGCGAGACCGGGCCAAAAGGAATACCCAGCATGGAATCTTGCTGGCCGGCCAGCCAGAAGATGTGGCGCCCAGGTCTCCACCCCCAAATGGGGACAGTCAGCAGGCCACAGCCAACCCAGGGCCACCGGGTCACTGGGTGTCCTCAGGGGAACATCACACACCCCGGGCACCCGCCAGGCCATCAGAAGAAGGAATCCACTTGGACACTCACTGGGGTGCTTTCCAGGTGGCTGGAGATGCAAAGAATCCCGAGCTTCTGCAATTTTCCCGATTTATCTGGTCAGGCATTTGACACATGAGGTGGCAAAAAATTGTTTTAATGGCAACATCCCCTTTCCCTCCTTGCCAATTACCCTGGTCTCGGCATTCCTCAGGCCACAAAGGCCACAGCTGTTTAATATCAGCCGGCCCAGGCTGCACCTGTGATTCAGACCGGCCTAATCACGGGAACAGATGGCAGTGGCCAGAGTCAGCTAAGAACTGCTATCACTTTAAATAGCATCTAACATTTCATGGACCAAACGTGGCAGTTCCCGGCAGCAGCATCTCTCTGGTACAGCTAACGCCGGCCTCTAATCGCTGGGAGAGCCAGCACTCATCACAGGGCAGGGCCGGTGCCATCTAGAAGCTAATTACAAAGAACCGTGTTTGCGAGGGGGAAGGCCTGGCACCCGCTGTTGGCCGGCCGGCACTGAAACCCAGCAGGCCAGGGGTCCTGGTGGCAAAACGGTGGGGCGCTGGGCTGCGAACCCAAAGGCCAGTGGGGTTCAAACCCACCAGTCCCTCCAAGGGAGGAAGATGAAGCCGCCGACTTCTGGAAAGATTGGCAGCCCCAGAAACCTACGAAGGAGATCTCTCCTGTCCCACGGGGTCACTAGGAATGGGTTCGAGTGTTTGGGGCCACCTGGCCCTGCGGCTCAGGAGGATCACCTGGAAAGCCACAGCAGGCAGGGCTTCTGAAGCCAGTAGAGCGTCTCCTCACTCGGCCTAGTCAGTCGTTGGTCGTTGACCTTTATACACCTTGCTGTTAGAATTCACGACTTCCCATGTGTTGGGAGGTAACCTACTATAGATAGGGCACTTGATCATCAGGAGAATCCAAGACTTTGAACCGGTTCGTTTTGGTTCAGCGCCCTGCTGAGAACCTGGCTTTCCACTCAGATACATTGAGCCAGTAGCTACACAGTAAGACCCTCGAGTGATTCACATTGTAGCAAGAGTGCTGTATGTGTGGGGGAGTGAGGGTGGGAGGGGTGATCCTGTAAGAATCACTGGGGCATTTCAGTCCTAGGTGAAAAGACAGAACAGGTTCAAAGCCCCCAAACAATCAACCAAACCATGCTGATGGAAGGGGATGTCCCCGCCAGCGCTCTCAAAAACCACTCAGTGCCATCGTCAAGGTCAACACTTGGCAATCCGGTTGGGCAGAGTGGGACTGCCCTTACCTTTCCAAGACAGTAACTGCTCATGGGAGTAGCGAGCCCCGTTTTTCTCCTGGCCAATAACAGCAAAGGCTAAATGACATTAACTATTCAGCAGCTGAGTGAAAAAGTGGGAACCCTGGGGAGCAAGGGGCGGGAGGCACAGATGCCATCAGCGTCCCTGATCTGTCCATGTAGGCACAGTTGAGGTGGCACGTGGTTTACTGTGTGTGTTCCACGATAACCATAGAATAAACTAAAGAGCCAAGCTAGCCCAACCCGTGAGGACCAACTCAGAGCTGAGGACTAATCACGACGGTCCTCCAGAACACCCCGACCTTCCCCGCCACCCCCACCCCCACCCCCACACCAGGTCGTGAACCAGGGAATGGGCAGCTGGTGGAATCATCGTTCTGGTCTTTGCACACCGGGTCACCACTCTCTGATCTATGAAACGGGACCTGCTGGCCTCCCCGCTTCCCTTGTCATGGGAGGGCGGGGGAAGGGGGCCTGGGCTGCACCATGCCTGGCCGCTCCCTCCCCTGCAGGGGAACGAGATCACTAAAACACAGAGGACATCTTCTGAGCTCTTCCAGCAGCGGGTTTGAAGTACAGGCACACTTTCTTACACGCACAATGGGCAAGACTCGCCGTGAACGCCAGCTCCAGGCACACAGGTAGTGAAGTGGGTTTCACGCTGGGCTGCTCACCAGATCGGCAGTTCAAACCCACCAGCTACTGCCCTGGAGAAAAGATGCCGCTTCCGTTCTCCTCAAGATTTACCACCTCCAGAGCCAAAGGGGCAGTTCTACTTGGCCCTGCAGGGTTGCTGTGACTCAGAACTGCCTCAATAGCAGGGAGAGAATGGCAGTGTGACTAAGCATTCACCTGCAACCAAAAGGCCCGCAGTTCAAAGCTGCCAGCCCCTCCTTAGGAGAAAAATGAGACAGTCTACTTTTATATAGAGGGCAACCTTGGAGCATATGGGTCATCTCTACTCTGTCCCAAAGGGCCAGGGGTCAAGCAGACAGCAATGAGTTTGGTTGTTATTATTGTTATTAGTGTCGTTGTTGTTGTTTGAAATGAACTTGTATGTCATTAAAGATCCCAAGTCCCCCTCAATTTCCCTTTGGTTATTTTAATAACAAGCAGACATATATGAAGCCACGATTAAATGTCCTCACATGGACTACAAATGCTTTGAGGAACATGTGGATGCCACACCTCAGTGGAGACCAACGTCCAGTCTCCTGAGGATCATCCTGGACAAGGACTGGTCCCTGTCTGGCCTTTTCTGAACTGAACCGCCAAGTGCACACACAGGCTCCTCTCTCGGAGCCCCGTCCTCAGGACAGCCCCATGGGGGGTTCACCTTCAATCTACCATCGAAGAAAAGGAGGCACGGAGGCTCATCAAATGGCTTACCCGAAGCCATCCAGCTTGATGGTGGCAGAGCAGGCCACCCACTTACCCCCCACCGTGAGTGCTCAGCACGAACAACCCTTGAAGACGCAATGGTCCTTTTGGGTCCCTTTCGAGTGCCTCTCCAAGGTAAGGCCCTCCTCCCCTGCTCCCAGGTAGCGTGCCACCTGTCTGAGGAGGTCCGGGTTTTTCAACCATGGCACCACTGACATTTGGAATCAGAGCATGCTGTGTTGTGTGTCTACAGAAAGGGGTGAGTGATGTCCTGAGCACCCCTGACCTCTACCCAACGGACACGCCCCCTCCATGTTCACAGGCAAACATTACCAATGGCCCTGGGGTGTTCGGGGAATCGCCAGCAATGAAAAATCTCTGGGTTAAGGTAAGCCCCACCCTCCGGTATCAAGGAAAACAAGACGTTCTCGGATTCTACAATGTTTGTCCATCTCCAAATACAGGGAAGGCCAGAGGAAAAGGAGACCCCAGGAAAAGCAAGGGCCACGGACAGAAGGAAAGGCAATGGAGAGAAGGGGACGCAGGAAGACTGGTTTATACTCAGGTTTGACCATGGGACAGCAGACAGTGCGGGCGGAGGGCGCGGGGCATGGGGCGCAGACGCAGCGTCCAGAGGAGAGGCCAAGAAGACAGAGTGCGCACGTCCCTCCACTACTTACTCTTGCTGCCATTGTGCTCACTGACCAAGTCCTCGGGGCCGTCGGGGTCATCCTCGTCATCTCCAGAGGAGATTGCATCTGTATTCAAAAGAACAGATTCGTGGGTGTGTGGATGGCGGGGTGCAATGCCAGAGGTGGCAGCTGGCTACCAGAGGGCAACGAATCCCGAGACCCGGGGACCGGGACACGCTGCCTGAGGCTGCTCGCTCAGTGAAGACCCTTCCGATGGCTGGGATTCCCCTCAGTAAGGAGCCTTAACCCGGGAGGACCAGCACTTTGGGCGTCAACATTCTTCAAACAGGCCATCGCCGCGTTGGGTCCTGGCGCAGCTGAGGTCTCAGTGGCAAATCCATCCCGACAAGTTGACTGATGACATATAAGACCCCAAGAGTCTTCCCAACACAACCTTTCAGCGTTTTTGTGTTTTGTTCTGTCCCGGGAGGGTGGGGAGGGGGGCTTGAGGATTCCCCTTCAAGAAAGAAATTCATCCCACACAACACCCGGCCCCTGTGAGGCCTTCCAACCAGTGGCTACCATGAGGGGCTTCATAAGAGTGATGGGAACACGGGATTCAAAGATGATGGGATCTCCCCACTGACTTTCGCAAGTGTGCCCCCACCACCACCACCCCTCCTTTGTTTCCTGAAAGCACAATTCACAGCTGGCCATAAAAGAAGGGGGAGGGGGAGGCTTTGGCAGCATCCCTCTCCCTGCATGAAGGAAAACTCAAGGAGAGAAATTCCCATCTTAATGAGAAATCAGAAACCTTGAGCTTCCAAATTTCAATGCTACCATAGAGAAGCCAGGGACGACAGTGCACTGAGGGGGCTTCCTCTACTGAACACAAGAACTCAGCATCTCCAGGACACTAGGTCTCCTGGGAGACCCTCTAAGCCAGATCTATAGCATGCTGTGCAGCTGTGTGCCTGGGTCCAAGGGGCTGGGAGCACTATGGGTTCACCCAGAAGGCAGCTACGAAGAAGGAAGAGCAGAGGGCGCCAGGCCCACTCACCTGTGACATTGACCATGAAGTACAAGGCCTCACTGTCTACTGTCCTAGCCGCAGTACAAGCATAGAGGCCGGAGTCTCTAGACGTGGTGCCTTTTATCTGCAAGTACTGCCCAATAAGCACTGTCCTATTGTTGGGCCCCAAGAGCACCCCATCCTTAGTCCAACTGATCATGGAGGCATCTTTCAACAGGCAGCGCAACTCTAGCGACTCCCCGGGCGTGGCCACGTGCACTTCCGGTGGAGAGATTTGGTACTTGGTTGGTGGCTCTGCAGAGAGGCGGGAGAGAGAGGATGGAGATGGTTGGGAAGGAGAAGAGGGAGAGAAAGTCCTAGGTCAGTGGCGGGCCTGGTGGCTCCCAGGGCAGGCTGGTCTTGTTTTCCCAAGGGGCCCCAGCGGGTGTCCTGTCTCGGACCTGCGCCCCAGGAAGTGCCCCTTAGGCCCTTAGGAGCAGACTGTCTGAAAAGTCAGCTGGGAGAGAAAGGGGTGGGAGGGAAGCGCGTGGCCAAGGCTTAACACCTACACGTGGCCCGGCTTTTCAAACAAACCACAGCCTGCTTGGAGAGCAACCATCAAGCAGAACAGGCTCACAAGGCAACGTCCTGTGTCCTAATCTTGAGGGGGGTGGGGATGGTGTGTGTGTGTGTGTGTGTGTGTGTGTGTGTGTGTGTGTGTGTGTGTCACTATTCACCACCCGCCCCTCTCCCCAGTCAGCATGACTGGTTCTCACACCAACACACACATGCACACAGGTACCTACACACACTCACACATGCATGTCCCCATGCACACATGCACACTGCTGTGTGATGTATATAGTTGCTGCTGTCACAAAGCCACGTTTCTGAGAATAAGCAACCCCCACCCACCCACCCAAGGAAAACAAGTGGACACCGACCCACAGTGTCGGAGCCCCAGTGGCGCAGCGGTTAATTGCTCTGCTGCTAACGGAATGGGAAGGGTCGGCTGTTTGAGCCCAGCAGCCGCTCAGCAGGTAATGGGTATGACAGCCTGTGTCTGTAGAGCTGACAGCTTTGTGAGCCCCCGGGCAAGCTCTCCTGTCTTGTGGGCCATGTGAGTTGGCTTCAATACCATGGCACTGGTTTGACCACTTTGCTTTGTTCTGGGGGGGTCCTCCGTGGTGCCTGGGTCCTCAACCGGGGGAGACATGTCACTGGAGGGTGAATTCTGTGCTGGTGGGGTCCAGTGTACAGCCTGCAGGCTTTGTCCACACACTTCACAGGACAGGAGCCAGAACGCCTCCACCCCTCCCTGTCCAGCCCCCTACCACACACGCCCTGGCCTTCACCGCCTAGGGCAGCGGTTCTCAACCTGCCTAAAGCCAAGACCCGTTCATACAGTTCCTCATGTGGTGGTGACCCTCAACCAGAAAATGGTGTTTGCTGCTACTTCATAACTATCATTCTGCTACTGTTATGAATCTTCATGTAAATATCTGATCTGCAAGACGTATTTTTATTATTACAAATTGAACATCATTAAAACAGTGATTCATCACAAAATAATATGTAGCTATATATTGTGAACTGTTTATTACTAATGACAAATAAGTGAAATTTTGTCTTGAAGCATGGTGTAGCATGGGTAACAGTCTTCATGCCGGGTACTTGTAGGTGGGTGTATCTGCACATGGGCAGACCTGCCTGGAGACAGATAGAGGAGCGGTGTCTCGGTTCCTAAGACCATTGTTAAT